GGGGAAGGGAAAAGGGAGACGGGGAGGGAAATGGGAGGTAGGGAGGAGGCGGAAATTTTTTTTTCAATAAAAAAAATTATGGAAAAAAAATTTTCAAGTACAAATGGACTGGACATTGTGAATGTAATTCTTAGTTGATACCTGTTCTTATTGTATACTGTTTTATTTTGTTAGAGTTAAGATGCTTCCCTTTTATTTAGAAAAAAAGTGAAAAGTTAAAAAAAAAAAAAAGAAAGTCATTTGCCATGGGCGTGTCTCTGAGGGTACAGTATGACCTGCTGCCTTCCTGCTCTCTGATTCCTGGCTGACATGCAGTGAGCAGCTTTTGTCTATCATGATCTCCTGCCACGATATTTTCCCTCATCAAGTATGAGCCAGCTGCCCTTAAAAACTGTGAGCCAGCCGGGCGGTGGTGGCGCACATCTTTAATCCTAGTACTCAGGAGGATCTCTGTGAGTTCGAGGCCAGCCTGGTCTATAGAGCAACTTCCAGGACAGGCTCCAAAGCTACAGAGAAACCTTGTCTTGAAAAAAGTTTAGATTTGTGATTCTTTTAAGGTTTTTGATAAGATTACCTTTCAAGATAAATAATAAAGCAATAGATCCTTCCCTTGTAACTACAAAATTCAGCCGCCAGTAAAAGAACTGGCTGGGAAAAAGACTTTGCTTGCACACACTCTGTTAATCTATAACAAGTTGTTTGGACATGAATGTATGTGGGTTCTTGAGAATAATTTGCTTTTCACTGTAATAGGTAAAATGTTTAATCAAGTAAGGATATGGGAAACACGATGTTCATTGTATATTTTTGCTTGAATTCATTGGAATCATTCACTTGAAAATTAGAATGCAACCACACTGTAATTTTATAGTGCTTGAAAGATTTTGCTGGGGTACACAGGCTATAAGGGAAGTTAAGAGCACACAGAAGGAATACATTTGGATGGAGGTAAGAAAAGAAATAAAGAGATGATAGAGAGACCCTAAAGTGTGTGTGTGTCCCTTTCGCGGGCCCCAGGGCATTAAGTTTTATTCCCTCAGACAGAAAAGTCTACTTGAGTGATTACTTTGCCGACTCTGGGGAGGGAGAGCAGCAGCGAATGAGAGTGATGAGCACTCTCGAGAAAATAAGTGTAGACAGGAAAGCACTTGCTGAGAAGGGAACTTTTGGGCAAAGATGAGGCCTTGAAGCTCTCTGGGGAAGACATCACAGGCGGACAGGACAGACAGAGAAACCCAATCAGAACACCCCATGCTCAAGTTATAACAGGAGGCTGGTTACTAAGGCCAGTGAGGGAGAACACAGCAAGGTAAACCGGCCAGATTGTCTGGTGTCGTCACAGAAACTCTGATTTTGTGTGGAGTTGAAGGCTGGCTTTGAGCAGAGAAGGATACAAATCCGACTCGGCTGCTGCGTGAAGAACTGTGAGGGGCAAGGACAGGAACACAAAGCTCAGATCCAGCGGGACGTGGTAGAAAACAGGATTATGAAGTATAAGAAGAGGGGCCAAGGATGACCTCACAGCTTTTGGACTAAGAACTATGAAAACACAGCTTACTGAGAAGAAGGCAGACCACAGGAGTACATGCTGTGAGGGGAGTAGGAGCCCAGAGTTCTGTCACACACACAAACCTTTAAGGTACCTGTTAGGTGCTGACATGGTTTAATGTGCTCTCTAGAACACACTAAAATCTAGTGTCTAATGTAACAGTACTAAGTGGTAAAGCCTTTTAAAGGGGCTGAGGGTCATGAAGTCTCTGCCCTCAGCAACAGATAGAGTCCATTACCTCAGGAGTAGGCTCCTGGACAAGGACGGAGTTCAGCTCCCACCCTTCCCTCCTGTTTAGCCCACTTCCTGTGACCTTCCACTGCAGCAGACCACAGTAAGAAAGCCTCTTCCCAGATGCAGCTGTTCCATGTGGAGCTCCGGCCTCCAAAAAGGGAGCCAACTAAACTTACTGTTTACAACTTACCCCGTCTGTGGTATTTTGTTATAGCAGCAGACAATGCCCTAAGACAGGTGTCCATGCACGGCTGTCAACTAGACAACTACGCAGACACCTCTGGATTCAGTGTGGGTCCATGCTCAACACATAAACCTGGGAGTCATCAGCACTTGTTTTCAGAACACGAGGCTACATGAGATCTCCAGGGAGTGAATGAACCAGAACTAAGCCTTGCAACACTCCGATGCCTAGAACTTAGGAGATGGAGAAATTACCAAGAGAGGCCAAGATGAGCAGCCAGTAAAAAACAAAGAACAAAAAACCTTGAACATGTGACATGAAGGCTGGAATTAACAACTGTATCCAGCATGGCGGCAATCACTGGGGACCTTAGCAAGAACAAATCTGGGAGAGATCAGGACAAAAGCTAGATGGAATGGGTTCAAGAATGAACTGGATGAGAGGAAGCAGAGCTAGTGAACATGGCCGGCTCTCTTGAGACCATCCACCACGCAACGGGCAATGTGACCTCAAGCTAATCAAGAGAGAAGGCTCTCCAGTCCCACATGCCCTCCAAAGCAGGCAATGTTTATGGCCGTTTACAGGTAAGAAAACTGAAGCCTGGCACGCTGGCTAATTTAAATCAATCTGACACAGGCTAGTCATCTGAAAAGAGGGAAGCTGATAAAGAAAATGGCTCTAAGAGATGAGGTTGCGGGCAAGCCTGTGGGGCATTTTCTTAATCAGTGATGGATGGAGGAGGGCACAGCCCATTGTGGGTGTGGCCATCCCTGGGCTGGTGGTCCTGGATTCTATAAGAAAGCAGACTGAGCGACTATAGGGAGCAAGCCAGTAAGTGGGCCTCCTCCATGGCCTCTGGATCAGCTCCTGCCTCTTGGTTCCTGCCCTGCTTGAGTTCCTGCTCTCACTGCTTTATATGAACTGTTAGTGAAATAAACTTCCCTCCCCAAGTTGCTTTTGGTCACTGCATTTCATCACAGCAATAGAAGCCCTACTAATACACTCAGAGAGGTTAAATAACTAGACCAAGGTCAAAACTGAAGTGATGATCAAGCCAGACGTGTCTACATCCAGTCAAAGACTAGAATCTCTTATGTGGAGTCCCCCAACTTTGCAGAGGGTCTGAACCTACATCTCTTCCCAAGGATTTGTAACCTCTACCGCAGGCCTTTGTGGGGACACCAAAGCAGACTCTAATTTCCCCTGCTGAAAGTTCCTGTGAACTCGTCACGGCTCTAAGTGAAGTCTCTATGGCACTGACCTGAGTTGGGAAGCACCGACCCTCTGCCGTTCTTCACGTCCACCACCCAAGTGGCTTCTTTGCCACCTGGGCCATCCTTGACTTTGAAGGCAAAAATACCACCGATTTTCTTCACGAACTGCTCCCCTTCCTGCAAACAGAAGTAACAAAGGGAGTTACCTTACGTCTCTTCCTCTGGCTTTAAATCAATATTTTAACAGGTACATGTGAGCAGCCAGGGCGGCGGAATCCCCAGACTCCCGTAGGCTCTTTACTCAGGAAAGTAGGGCAATAATTCTCCCATCTGTCAACTCTGAGAAAACAAGGGGTCAAAGGCATCGCAGCATCCTCTGGTGAGAGCGCCTTGGTTTGCCTCAGCGGTTTGAGATTCCTTCTGGCCTGTCTAAATGTACGCACGCCAGTCTTTGATCCAAAGTCAGTTCCTTAACTCCTAATTTTGGTTCCCCACAATCAAAACTTAAAGTGATTCTGAAACCAAAATTTTCTTTGAAAGCTCAATTTCTGTCTTAGTATAAGGTATTATATAAATAATATTTGCCTCTTAATTTGGGATCTTGGGAATGCAATTGCCTAACACAGAAAACGTCACAGCGGGCAGGTTTCTCTTCTCCGTCCTCTGCGTTTCTCACTTCATCCCCACTCCTAAACGTTTGTGGCCCCCAACGCTGCTGTAGGCACCAGGATGAGGGCAGCGAGGGATCAGAGCACAGGCTGGCAGTCTTCTGCCCTGACTAAACCATCCAATAAACGGAGCACAGAGACACAGACGCCGCTGGCAGCACAGACAATGAGAGGAGACAGCGGCATGTACATCCAGCTCTAAAGAAAAGCAGGGGCTGGGGAGGTGGCTCAGTGTTGCTGATGACCAGAGCCTAATACGAAGGTAGGAGGAGGAACAGGCTCCACAGGTGTCCTCTGACCTCCACAGGGGTGTCGTGGCACACACACCCCTCTCCTAGATCATGCACAGACACTAACGGTAAATAAAATTTCTAAAAAAAAAAAAAGAAAGAAAACCAGAGTGTGGAGAGGTGGACAGTGGTTAAAAGGTGGCTGTTCTTCCAGATGACCCAGGTTCAATTCCTAGCAACCACATAGTGGCTCACAATCATTTGTAACTCCAGCTTCAGGGACTCCAACACTCTCTTCTGGCCCCCATGGGCACCAAGCATGCACACAGTACAAAGACATGCATATAGGCAAAAACACCCATCCAAATAAAATAAACCAATGCAAAAAAAATTCACTTTAAAAAGGGAAGCCCAACGCAGCAGAATTAATTTTTTTGAAATCTTTTTCTTTAGAGAAGAAATATATTCATTATAGAAAAATTAACAAATATTGATAAGGAAGAAGAAGAAAATTCAAGTCATTTCTAATTTTGCCATATAAAGAAAAAAATCACAGCTGGTATGAATTCTATCTTTTTTCCCCACACATAGTTTTAGAAACAGATGTGATGGCTGGCGTGGTAGTGTAATCCTTTAATTCTGTCCCTCAAAAGGTAGAGGCAGATGGATCTCTGTGAGTTCTAGGCCAGCCTGGTCTATATACGCAGGTTCCAAAACAGTCAGGGATATACAGAGTCACTCTGAATCCAGTGGGGTGGAGGTGGAAAGTGGGTGTGATGGCAAGTATGAGGTAATCCTGCAGAGGCAGGAGGTTCAAGGCCAGCCTGCGGAGGGGGGTATGAGTTCTAGGACAACCTAGGCTACATAATGAGAACCTAATCAAAAAGAGGCAGGGAGCATGTACTATTCTAACCACAATAACCTTCTGCCTCTTTATGTGTCACCATGTCCTGGTCCTTTTCTTTCCTTTTTTTTTGTTTTGTTTTTTTTTTTGTTTGTTTTTCAAGACAGGGTTTCTCTGCTGGAACTTGCTCTGTAGACCAGGCTGGCCTTGAACTCACAAAGATCCACCTGCCTCTGCCTCCCAAGTGCTGGGATTAAAGATGAGTGCCACCACCAACCACCTCCCTTTTATTTTTCTATAAAAAAATATTTTTTTTATATTTGTGTGTGTGTTTCGTTTTCTAACACATGGTTTTACTGGGTTACTTAGGCTGATCTTAGATTTGAAGCAATCTTCCCGCCTCAGCCTTCTAAGCAGTGCTAGGATTATAAACAAGGGTGACCATACCCAGCAACATTTCTAGATGCATTTATTCCTAGGCATTTTATAACGCTCTTGTTAATAATACACTTTTATTATATTTTATGGCTAAAATATTACAGACACATAGACAATATGCTAATTTTCTTATGCTTATTCCGGAACTAGTAAGTTTTTGAGTTCTCCTGTAGATTCTCCTTCTTCATTTCAGAATTAAAACATCCCTGCAGTAGTTTGTATATCAAGGGTTTTTCCTCCCTGTTCATTCCCTTAACAGAGATTAAAGTGGCCACTGTGTTCAGACCCTGTAATGAGCACCTGAAATAATACTCAAAGGCTTATTTCCCTGGAGGGATTTACAGCAGCTGGTACCACACGATAACCTCTGTTTCTATGTGTGCAGAACCACGGGAACCACGGCCCACATTTGTGTGCTCTCTCTCTCTCTCTCTCTCTCTCTCTCTCTCTCTCTCTCTCTCTCTGTGTGTGTCTCTCTGTCTCTGTCTCTCTCTCTCTCTCTCTCTCTCTCTCTCTCTCT